GAAACGGAAGAGGAGATGAAAGGAAGAGATTAATCCCGGAGAATAAGTATCTTTGTTTTGTATGTAATAAAGTACATACGAAAAAAGAATCACCATGTATTCCCATAATATAAGATCTTTCCAAAAAGACAACTATGAAAATTTCATGCCAGGAGAGATATGACATACTAATTGATCAATATGTTGATTTTATCCTCTTCACAAGATTTCTACTCTTGAGCAACTATGCATTTCTGTTACTTCCAGGCATTGAAGAGAATTACCAAGCACAAAGGGTCTAAGTTCTCATAGGGAAGCTCGAAGATAATTGTTCTTTATATTTATAGGTTATCTAAATACATCAGAAATCATGACCTAGGCATTTTGCTAACTGTACGGTAAAAGCACAGGTCGGAAGACACAAGCTCTAGGGGCCAATCATCATTCTTTTATATGCTCTCTTCATACTGCAATCATAGTTTAAATCTTGGATTGGGGCATTTGGTCCTCATCCCTTTAATAAATTGTGTGTATGCTATAGTGCATGTGAATCTTCAACTATGGTTGCCACTAGTATGCGGTTATCAACAGCTAGATCACTCCAGAAGTACGTTGCTGAAATTCCACATTTTCCTGGCTTTGCATTTCAGCTTCTGGTTTTCTTGAAGCTAAAAGATGTTTCCCTTCATCAGAAATCAGGGAGAGCTCAGAGGTTTGGCAATTCCTGTCCTCTATTTTTGATTTCTCAGCCTCTTTGAATGAGTCAACCTCCAGTGATCTTCCAGCAATTGAGCCACCTAAAGGAACTCTATCAGCTGCCCTCACACTATCCACCTTTGGAGATGGCATAAAGACTTCAGGAGTGCAATTTGGCTCATTAGAAGATTGGCCTTTCCCTTTAAGATCAACCAATTCTTTGCAGGAGCTGTCTGCATTACCAACCTGATTACCACCAGACAAACACAGAAAGACTTGAAAAAAGAAAAATATATATTCAAATGACGATGAAGTTAATACCCTCTTTAGGAAAGATATTTCCAAACGCAACCTCAAGGTGCAATTTCTTTGGCATCAAACCATTTCTGCAAAGACACAACCAACAAAAATAATGATTTGCACTTGATATTCTAAAAACTATACGGTTAGTAGAGAAGCTAATTCAATACAATCATACCTGAAAGCCAAAAAAACAAGGCACTGTGCTCTGAGCTGCTTCAACTGTTGTTCTTTGAAAGGCATACCAGAAAATGATGATGGCTGAGAGACAGCAGATTTTCCAGTATCTCTAGAAGCTGAAGTTCTGATCATTGACATCTCTGAATTACTATTCTGCCTGCCACCCTATCAACAAAACCAACATACTAAAATGAGAACTTACTCAAGATTCTACAAAAGATAAAAATAAAAGGACTAGAAACATGGCTAGCCACATAAGTAGAAATAGGACCATGTAATTACCAAACAACACAGAAGTGACAACCAGAAAATTAGAGCATAAGGGTAATTAAATTCTTTAAAAGGTCGTGTTATTAGAGTTTGAGTTGTAACAAGCCCTAACCAAACGTGCCTAACCAAATTCGTGCTGTACCCTAACTTGTATCAACAGAACATGCACTAATGTTGAAGAATCAACAGAACAGGCGCTAATGTTGAAGAGAATGTCAATGGCACATAA